ATGTATATATATATATATTGCATTGAAGGCAATAGCTTGGATTCATGAGTGCCACTGAGGGCGCGACTTGGTCATGTCTGACAATGTCTCCATGCATTGATATGGCCCGTCTCGGGGCCCCCATCCAGGAAGAGGGCAATGACCAGCGCAGCTGAGTTTGCTGGTAATGGCTTTTATACTTCACTGCCAAGTCATTGTTTGACCGCCTCTGGCTCTTTTCTACCCTTCACGTGGCTGTGCGAAAAGAGCTCTTCGAGGAAGCCGGTCGACTGGCATACGCAGCACGTGGCCAAACCAGCGCAACCGATGCAATGTGATCAGTTCATCTATCGAGAGTTAGTTATTTCTCCCGAATACCATTCGACTAACTTCAGCATTGCTGATCGGGTGTTCCCACCAGATTCGGGCGATGCTACGAAGACAACGATCGTCAGGATGAATTTGACCTCTGGCCATAGGGTTCTTTGAAATGTAGCACCACCAGATTCGGGCAATGCTCTGAAGACAACGATCGTCAGGATGAATGTGACCTCTGGCCATAGTGTTCTTTGTAAATGTAGCATCCCGAATTCTTTAAAGGTTTGCTGCAAATCTGAGTTAATACGAATGTGGATCGAATGGATGCTTCAGATACAGATTCACTTCCAGTTTCAAAGCAAGCCACACGGGACAACTACAACTTAAATTAGTCAAACGATTGTTTAGCGAAATGATCTCGCATAAGCGCGCTGTGACCGATCACAAGGTCGGACAAGCAGAACCAGGCGGTCGGGTTTGACAGGTTTTGTGAGCGTTTTACTAGACCCGAATACAGGTGGCGGTTAATCAATCTTTGAGCTCGAGATAGCTCAGTGGTTAACGTGTGAACTCACTGAACGGAGGGTCCGTGGCTCGAACCCAACTCCGGTATCCTGACAGCTCCTGTCTAGACTTGTACAACTTGGAAGCATCTCAACCTTTTTGCTTCATTCGGGTGAGTTGGCGGCTAGGCGCCGAAGGTGTGCTACAATTGAATGGCAGATATAAGAATAGTAACACCCTATTTTTACTCATTTCCTTTATCACCACACTAGACAGAACGGAGTTATGTTTCCATGACAAAGATGCTAAGCATAATAGTGTACTTGCGGGTCATACATGCGGTTACGTTTGGCGAATATAAGTTAGGTGCTCATGGTGACTTACAGTTGGGTCTCCGCGAACTGTTTGCACATGGCCGCCTTGTTCTTGATTAGCGTTAGACGCTTTTGCAATCGCAGCTCACTCGCCTCGTTTGTGATCGGTGAGTTCACGGCCTTGATCAGAACTTTGTAGGCCTCAGTCAGAGCACCGGTCGCTTTCTCGTAACTTCCAAAGTCTTCTATCTCAGCCTATTTTTAATGTTTTGAAAAGTTATACCGGAATAAGATTTGGAAAGACCATCATGAGTCTAATCAGTGACAACCTCAACGTCGATCCACCATGAAAAAGGGCTTGTTTGACCTCTGATGACCTGTTTGTTCAAGGGTCCAAGAGTTCAATGAGGTCCAACAAGCTTAGGAAATTCGGCTGACGGCCACTCAAGAAATGCTTGTCTACGTTGTAAAGCCTTGTGTTCCGTGTCGCACATTTACGTCAACTGAATGCATAAGGGATGAGCCGTACACGGACTTAATAAATTTCAGCTGAGATCTCTACGTGTAAGTGATGCTAACATATACTGAAAAGCAGAAAACAAGTGTACAGCTGTTTCATCCCTATCGGAAATAATCAGTAGTGCGCACCTCACGAAACTTCAGAGGGTTTCGAACCCACAACCACGAGACCAGCGGTTTGAACACAACTTTCGGCCACGAGCGGCTGACCAGCATCGTGATCGACTCGCACTGGAATGAGTCATTTGCCTATTTTTATGGTCCCTATGTACAGCACTCCCTCAGTTACGAAACAGGGTGTCTATCACAACTCACATGTGCACATGCCTCATAGAAAAAGGCCAGGGATTCTGGGGCTCGACCACGCGTGTAGAACTGCACGATCGTTCGCATTGTGTCCACGTTGGTTCGCCATCCTTCCAGTGTTTGCAAGTAGTTCGCGGCCATCACATAAATTTCCTTCTGTTTGCTGACGTTTGCGAAGAAGATTATTTTCTCTGTGTCGCCAGAACGGATGAGTGCCTTCATGGCTGCGATGCGGCTACCAGCCTGAGTGAACTTTTTGCAGGCCAGATGATATTGCCCCTGTCCCAAACACAACTCGCCGAGCTCTATCAGAATGCTCGTCCGTTCCGACCCTGATACACTACCTTCTTGCTGATCATCCGTGTTCAGTTGTGTGGGTGTCATTTTCTCTACTAGCTCCTCCGTAACAGGCACGTTGTATTCAGCACAGAGTTTCAGGGCGTCCCAGTACTGAGAGATAGACATGGAAGATTGAAAACTCACGAGCTGTCCGATCTCGTAGCACACAAAAATTTCGGTGAATATCTTCCTTTATCGCCATGACTACCTTCCTGAACACATTGATGTTTAGGCTTTAAAATGTGGCAACTATATTTTTTTTGAATTTTTGGCTCAACCTATAGTTATGTGGATCAGTATGAAGGGGTTAAAAGTCGATTTTAGGGTGCTTGTGGTGAATTGAACTCAAGTTCTCTAGTCACTAGGTCTTTCCCATTGAAGCACATCACTGGTATGTCAGTTCAGTCATTTAGCCTCCATATCCGGACCCTCGATTACTGCTATTTTGTGGTACAGAACACTCAGGCTTTTCAGGTTGTTACCCATGTTAAGTGTTCCCGCGTTTTATGTCTGGTAACTGAGAGAACCTCGATGGCTTTGGAGTCATCAGAGCCTTGTAAGTATTATGCAAGGGCAAAAATTGTACAACAGACACACTACTACTTATTTCGGGGGTTATTTTGAGTGGTGTATGCCAGATCACCGTTACTCTCTGTCTGTGATCATATCTCAATTCGCCGTTCGACCAGACATTTGCTCGATTCATTTGACTTAGGTCAACTTATATATACCATGGGCGTTCTGAACTTCAGAATTCCTATTATCATACAGTGGAGGATAACTAAGCCATATCAACTAGTTCCTTGTACTCACTCGTTTTCTCAGTTGTACATCTGGCAAATCTACTTACTATTGCCTTACCGCAGTGAGCAGTGGCGCGATGTTCATAAGCGATTCAGGTTACCCACAATACACTACAAACAAGCCCGCTCGTTGATGGTTAGCTCAGTAGGAAGACCAAAATCCATTCTTTCCCGTAAGCTCTGTTTCACTACCATCGGTTGGATAAAGCGCGAAATCCGCCAAGTACCATGTCTCTGGGGCGCCATTTTTCGCCTTCATCACTGAACGCCCATACTGCTCGGTGACGAGACCATATGGTCTCTAAAACAGTTTACACAACTACTTAACCTATTCATTACACTGATTTGTGCGAGTTTGCGTAAACAATACCACTGCAGCTTTCCACAGAACAGTGATACATTGATGGTCTTCGGAAGTGCGAAACAACTGCTACCTTGTGTGGTGTTTCGGATGAGTTTAATCCTAGATGAAAAATACCACTGTTCCCGTGTCATTTATAGTGCTATTCTGACAGACGTAGAAAATGTTGTGCCGTATTAGGTAATTAATTTAATTTTCTATTCACATCTCACAATGCTCCCAATCTACTCTTCCCTCCGGATGATTTAATTTGGTAAAACACAATTCGATATAGTTGCTTCGAAAAGCCTCCATATATATCTTAGTGGGAGCCAGGACGGCCAACTTAGGTATGGGTGTGTAAACGTAAAGTGATCGCGTAGTCATTTTCGCTGCATTGATTTGGATGCTGCTTATCTACTCGCTACTCACTACAAAAGTTAGGAGTTACCCTGACCTGGTACATTGAATCCAGAACTTACCGAATGGAACCACAAGGCTTCGGTTAGGCTTAATGAAGTAAATCTTTGGAATACAATTCTCAGTATGCCAACCTATTCATCCACAAGAGAAAAAGAGTAGCTTAATGTGCTTTGTTGGTCCAATTGGTTCCACACATCGTGAATGAGGTCAAGTTCATCCCTCTTGGGATTTTTCATCTATCGCGGGTATCTTTTTCCATACCGAAGGTAAAAATAATCAAAGTTACTTATTCCTCATCTAGTCCCTTAGCAACGAACAGATGGTCCTAAATTTTCGAAATTGAAATCATGCAGTAAAAGCCAGTGAGCTAAAGTTAGTTCTTAAAATATACGGTTCCAAGGCGACACGAATGCCATTTTGTGCTTGCTCGGCTGTACGATGGGAGCATCTGGACCAAGCTGTACTCAGTCATAGAGGGCAGATTCAAACAGCAAACCTTATTTTTCACTGTATCACATTAGTATGTACTGAGAAAGCATACTTTTGTACCGACGAGACACAAACTGAGATGGTTACGACGAATTTCTCTGGTTCAGAAACATCAAGAGGGAAACTGCTTTCTGTAGAGTCGCATATGATCATACAAAATAATAGATTTTCATTTTATGCAAGCCCTCAACAAGTGTGGAAGGTGTTCCATTTTTTCATGGAGATTTAGAAACGCTGAAGTGCGCTGCACATTCATTAAACTTCGAAAACATCCAGATGACCTTAATTCGTCAACCGATTGAAGGCGAATCTTATAATATGGTCAGAGTTTACTAGTTACCTACGCTTCAAACGCTACTAACTGACGGTTAGTAAACCATAATAGGATGTCAAGATAATTGGTGACCTCACTTACTTGTTTCCCAGAGGCAAGTACATCCACTGCTCTGTCAAACTGATTGTTTTGCACGAAAAATTCTGCGCATCTCCGTAGTAGAACGGGATCTATCCGGTCATCTAGCGATCCTGCCACACTTTGAAGAGCAGCAAACTGATGCGTCTGAAACGCAAGTTCCACCGCCTTACTCACGTATCCGGCTTTGTGATACAGCAACACTGCCTTGCTTGCGAATGCTTGTTTGGATTCAAGGTGTTTCGCAGCTTCCACCATATCTTCTGGACGACCCAACTGCGCCAAACTGTACAGATGGTCGTTTCTGTCATGTTCCTATTGGGGCGACATTATTCCATTAGATTTGAATGAAGAAACGTTTGATGATGCTAAACTAGGCAATCAGACAAGTAATAGCAAACACGACAAATACGAAAAAACTTGTTCATATTAATGTTCTGACGCCCACTGTCTAGCTCTCAGTTAGATGGCGAGAAAACTCATCCCCATGGGGCCGACAAAAGCTGGCAAACTGGCAACCACATGATCGTTTATCGAATGCAGGTGGAGTTATCTTGGAGCGAAATTATCGTGCGAGTGAACAACTTTCGGACCCAGTTTTTAATGCTGCATCTTCTTTAGGTATTCTGGAGATGCTGCAGAACGCAGCTGACACATTCAAGGAAGTGTTTTTGTCACCCAAATCCTCTAGATATCTAGTGCTGTCCAAGCGTACCGTATCATAGATGCTCACCGGTACGGTAGCAACAACAGGGTGATTGTATATTCACCCTGGCTGTGACCATCGGACGACCTATCTTTACTGGGTTGCTGCGGTCATGTATCGGGTTTCGCTCAGTACTTGGTTTAACAACTCAACATATGTCACGTCCTTCGGAAACCGAATGAAACCGCTGCTGCTACAAACCAGTTCCGTTTTACTGAGCTTTGTTCATCCAACTACTGTGCAAGCTTACCAACCGGTACAAAGAAGTAATCAACTGACAGAGGATTAACCCGACCTAGCCTAGTTTTTCTGTTCTGCTTGAATGTGGCCCCAACTCTCGTATTTTTATTGCACCGATAACAAGAGGGATGACAGTTTGGAACTGTCGAAACCATTGGGTAGGCGTTTGTCGAGTAGTCATGGTATCGAAAAGTCGTTGGCTTAAGTTGCAGATGATGGTTACTCACCTGAAGAAAGCGACATGTATACGCGATCAGTAAGATCTAGGCGGCCGCAGAACTCCTAATACCTTTTGACATGCGTGTGCCCATGCACACTGACACCTTGATGGGACCGACAGACTCTTAAATTATACATGTCTGTTGTGTTTGTCTCCGCTTCTCAATGAACAGGCATGTTTGAAACTGACAGCCTTAGCTGGAACTCGAGATGACTTGAGAGAGCCGAGTGACCCAGAAGCGAACTTACCAACCAGAAGGTCTGTTGTTCAAACCTGACCCTGACATCTCGACTGCTCCTGTGTTGGCTTCGATTGTCTGACAGTATCTCAGCTCTCTCTGATAAAACCACAGCAACTTATTGGATAGCGTGATTCAACAGCGGAAGGCTTCACTACTCAGAGTCTATTTATAGATGCAACAGAGTAATTATCACGCAAATTCCCCCTGGTAATGACTGTACGGAAAGACAGTTCATGTTTCTCAGATTACTGAGAGTTGGACTTAACCTTCACTGAGACCAGCCAATTCAGCCTGACCATCGCCCAACCCACACACACAAGAGAACCTTAGTAGGCATGAATGTTTTCGAGATGTATTATTTTGAAAAAGCCGCGAGATCCCCCGAGGAAATTTGAAATTTAATTATATAGGCTCTCAGAGTTTCAAAACTTCCCTTTGGAAGAGGTATATCCAGGAATTTTCCTGTGTGAGAGGCTACTGTGAGTAGTGGATCTTTGTTAAGCGATATCCTGGTGTGCGTTGCAAGTTTCTCCCAGTATTATACCGAAAATAACTGTACAACAGTCGGTGAGAAATGAGGATTTCTTTTGACTGAATAGATCAGCGCAACTTAGCTATATGGAATCCTTCTTTTAACATTGTACGTACCCACAATCCCCTAGGAGGAGAAAGGCGCATAAAAGGTGTTTCCTTTTTTGAGAGCTTTTCTTGATATGAATGGTTATTCGACAAGTGTTATATATTCTTCAACCGTAAGCAAGAGTTTCGTAACCGATGAAAAGGCTGATTTAAAGAATGAAGGCAACTACTGCTTTCAAACAGCTGCTCGTTTTGCGAACTCTTTTAGGCGACATTTTTCTGAGGAATTCACAAGAATCAGTGATGCATGAGATGGGTAAGGTGAGGAGGATTTGTGATTAGGAATGGTTGGTCAGCGATTCTTAGAGAACATAACACTTTTGT